TGGTATTAAAACTAGATTGCTTATCTCTCAACACGAAAAATACTAGACACATGCCAAAAACAGGCAATAGCAAACGAAAATACTACACGGATGAGAGAAGCGAACTTGGGTCCCGCCAGTGATGGGGGCGAAGCGGCCTCTTGCGTGGTCGGCAAAGGCGAGTAAATCCGTTTGGCTTGGATGGCATTGGCTATACTCCTCGGCACCACCGTCCTCCACGAGCACACACACGCTCGAATATATGAAGCGACGCCTCAGTCAGGACGTCCGACCTCTTCCCACGTTCAACAGACTGCCGCTCGCTGTCTCCTCGAAACCCACTTTGCTCGCACCGTCGTCGAAGTAGTCTCCGTACAGAGAGTGCCCACTGCCGTCCGAAGAAAGCAAGGGAAGTGTTGCGGGGCGCGTGGCCGCGTATGTCACGCATTGCCGTTCCTTCAAAATGGACCTTTTGTAGAAACATCGGTCCGAGAGTAAATCGATTTAGAACCCTCTCTCTCTTCCTTCTGGCCGAGCGGAGAAAAAAGATGGTTGCTTTGTGTCGACTTCGGGGCAGGAGATAACACACGATGGAGACAAAGGCGAGATTGGCGGAGCCGTATGTCGATGACGTTTTGGATGTCGAAAGGGGGGGAGAGGCCTTGCGTCCGCCTGGAGCGCACGACCACATGCCAAAGACGGGAGGACAAAGCACAGAAAGTGACCTTGTAACAGCCCGAGCCGACCTTGGCGCGCGCACTCGCAGCACAACCAGCTTAACCAGCTTCACCAGCGTGTCACCCAGTTTGACCACATCGGCTCCATGGAAGACCTGGGCCGGCTTGCTAGAAGAAGTGTCTCAGTTGAGACTGCTCAAAGAAAGCACTGCCAAGGCTCGGGCGCGCGAGCGTCTGAGACTCGGCTTAAGCTCGAGCGCAAGCCTTGACAGCGCTTTCTTTGAGCAGTCTCAACTGAGACTCTGCTTCGAGCAAGCCGGCCCAGTTTGACCAGTTGGGACCTAACTGGCTCCCAGCTAAATGAGATCGAATCTAAAACCAGATGCCACCTTGCCCAGCTTAAACCAGCTTGCTTGCCAGTTAAACCAGTTTAATTAACCCGTTGACCAGTTTGACCAGCTTAATTACCAATTTGACCAGTCAGACTTTCTTGCTGTTTTTTTTCAATAGGTAGAAGACGGCACCTGGAATTGCCACGGGGGGCCACCTGAGGCAACGAACCTTCGTCCTGCTACAAGACAACGTGGAGGTGGAGCCGTCATTGGAGGGTGTGTTGAACCTACATGATGAGGACGTGCGTGACACTTTTGATCCTTGTGTGCCTAGTTACGATGTACTACAGACACCAAGCGCTATTTCTGAACGTTCAAGACAATAAGTTAAAACAGCGCAAAAAATACGAAGGACCAGTAAAAGGAAACACACAGACACAGCGCTGGTCCTTTTACTGGTCCTTCGTCTTTTTTGCGCTGTTTTAACCCATTCAATATGACCATCAACCAACTCGCCCAACTTTACTCCTTGTTGCAGTTCAAGACAAGACGAGAGGGCGGACCCTCTGAAAAGATCAATTAGAAAGTGCCGGCCTCCAGTACGGTACTCTTTATGATGGACACGGTGAGTTGATGGGGAGGGCTGTCACAAGGGGGCTACGGGCGTATTGTGGATAGTGCTTTAGCGCACGTGGAATGGATTTGATAGAGAAGAGAGCAACGAAGGCGGTTTTCGTAACTATTGGCGACGTGTGGGATCGTAAGCGTCGCTGTGGTCGGCTTGCTGCGATTGGCCGAATGCTGACTATGATGTAGGTTTCTTATAGACGGAAAGAAGAGGAATACGAGAACTTTAATTTTGACGGTGTTTGTAGTGTTGCTTTGAGAGCTCAATGATTTCGAGCTTCAACGTGCCAAGCTAATTACGAACACCGTCGAACTTGTTGCTCGCAAGGTAAGGACCTAACGACAGCGAACCTAAAGGGGTATGCACACGAAGGGGAACTCCGCGGACGGATGTCGTGACGTCAACAACCCGGGAAACTCCGTCCCTGGCTCCTCCGCGTGCACCTGCGGAGCTCTCATGCTAAAATACGAAGCCTCCGCGCCTCCGCCACGGAGGAGAACGAGGCCGCGAGGCGTCAAAAAGGGACGACGTATGTCTCACGTGATGCGCGCTCCACGGAGGAAAGGGGCTGATTTCTCCTTCGTGTGGATACCCCTATAGGAGGGCGCCATCAAAACATCTTGCCGCTAGTAGGGCTTGGCAAGTGCTTGTGTTCGCGTGATGTATGAAATACTATTCTTTATTGCTCTTAACTCTAATATAACTTGTAATCTAATCTAACTTCTAATCAGACGCTTAGGGAAACGTAATCAAGCATTATAAGGCATCAAAAGGGCTCATATTAGACAGGATGCGTTTATGGGTTGGATTTCTTGGAAAAGTGTAAAATTCGATTACGAAGAAAAAGCGTTACACGCAGGATAAAGCAACCCGAAAGGTGCGCAGCTCATAGAAGGCGGTGCATCCAAAGTATATAAAAGGCATTATTAGTAATAAGAATTCATGCATTATCATGACGAAGAAAAGACAATCGAAACCAAAGGGATTCATCATGGAGCTCTGCGGGAATCAAACCCAGGGCCACAGGATCCCCAGTTCGACATTTTTGCTCGGCGCCGTAAGTAGGAGATGGACGATGATGCGAGGAAATCAGCCAAGTATGACTTGCCGCCGACAGTCGACTGAGCATGCGACTCTGCGCGGCGAGTAGTACTTCGATCGGCGTACTTCTTTGCAGGCGACCTTTGGAGGCGAGTTATACCACTTATGTAGCATACTTAACCCACAATCGACCGTGGGCGCCGAGTCACACTTAGTCCAGCGTACTTAGTTTGTTGGCTGAAGACACTGGCGAGTTATACATATAGTCTAGCAGGGCCGTAACCACGGGGGGGGGGGGGGGGGGGGGGGGGTTAGGGGGTTCGGACCCCCCCCCCCGAAATTTTTTTCTGGGTACGGCCCTGGTCGGTGCACTTGCAGCCAGCCGATTTTAACCTCCACCTCTGCGCACGCGCAGTGGCACCGGTCGGCACCGGGTACCAAACCGGGACCGGTTCTTCGGTTTGCTATAACTCTCCATTATATGCCACCGATGCACATGATTCATAGGCGAAAATAAGACAAAATGGCCGCCGTTGTCCTCGAAAACCCCCCCCCCCCGAAATTTTTTTCTGGGTACGGCCCTGTAGTCTAGCATTCCTGGTCCGGAATATGAACCGTCGACCGCGAGTCATACTTAAACCCACATAATTATACTTGAATCCGGTAACAGGCGATCTCACAATCTGATGGAGCCATTCGTACAGTGTCAAAATTACATCATCACGGGTGCCGATCCTCTTTGTGCGTTCGCAATTACCGGCTAGACCAATCACGCAAAAAAACACACATTCATGGCACCTTCCTTGTGCGTCATTAGGGAGTTTTGTAGACCTTGTTTCCCCAACGGCTAAGTAAGCCCTCCTCAACGGAGAAGTCGCTACTGCGCCTGCGCGCCAATGGCTTTCACTGGGGAGTTCCGATAATCATAGCAGAATGCGGAGAGCGTTTCGGAACGGCGAAAGCGATCTACGAAAGCTCCCTATTGGCTCCGTGCAATCGTTGCGTCGGCTGCGGTTAAAGCTAAACTAAGTATAGACCGCGGTCGACTGTCGGCGGTCATTGATACTTGGTCCAGCATACGTCGGTGCGCGCAGCTGGTTTTGGACAAGACGTAACTCCTCCACGTGGACTTGCGACATCGCGGGGTAAATGGTAACGTACGAAGGGATAGCGCGGCAGGAGTGTAGCGTCAGAAGTTCGGAACGTAAAACGGGCATATGGGACGTCAGAACCTAGAGTAATAACTAAAACATAAAAGACAGATCCAGATCACGTGGCAGCTTACGTGGCTGCGAGTTGAAAATGTGAACGCTCTTCACCTTTCGCAAATTGTTTCTGCGACCGCCATTGCGTGGAGAGAAAAACAACAACAACCACTTGATGCGTGTTTCATCGGTTATGAACGTCAGGGAATATTTGTAAGCGGTACCTACTGAAAGTACAAAAATGGTAGCATTTTTCCTTAAAAGCGTACGCCGGCAACTTTTTGAGCTACTCCAACACGATATTTTTGAAATCACCGGCCTTCCGGTGTGCTATTTAGTATCGCAAAATTCAAATTAGGGATTGTAAAATCGGCAAGTGGAAATGATGCGAAAACTAACACTTAAATATACCTACGCTTTCCATTGTCGTGACGTCAGAGGAAGGCAGGTTTGCAGGTCGAGCGGGCAGTCCGAAAATGAATAGGCCAATCATTTGTTTCGTGCTGCTGCGTGGGTGTTAGAGTGAACTTTCAAAGATTTCATTTGACACCATAAAACTGCTTTCAATCAGTTGGGAACTAACTCCACAAACCAAAAAGTTAACCGCTGCCTTCCTCTGACGTCACTTTTTCGTTGTTGCCATTAGAGACATTAACCTAAAAAAAACACACAGACAAAAAAAAATAAACAACGCACGGTGAGGTCTGAAATTGTAAATTTAATAACTTAGCGAAAATATTATGGCCAAATTATTGTGTTACTATTTCAGCTATAGTTGTTGGTGTGGTTAAAACTTTTTCAGCCAAATGGGGGCTGCTCAGAAAACGCCGGAGTACCTCTTAAAGCAGCGAGTTGACTCAAAGTGTTGTTTCTTCTAAGCGTAGCTTAGTTAGAGAAGCTAGCCTGTATGTTTCTATGTTAAACATAATTAGCATAGGGGAGATGATCAGTTTACGTTACCAGTACCAGATAAAACAGGAAGCAGAAAACAAGAGCACACGAGAACCTCGGCAAGAAAGATCTGTTTTATCGACGTTTATGATGCAGTGACAGAAATCAGATCTCTTCGAATCAATTCTCACATTACAAATTTCGTATAATGTGAAAAAGATTAGGATATCATAAGACCCTACATTGTTTATTGAGTCTTGCTTTTCCTCGTTTTTTGGACCTTCTGAGGCCTGGTTGTTATTGTTTGTTTAGTTTTCTTTTTCGTAGGTGTTCTAGTTTTTGTTGTCACGGGCTTCGTTGGTTTTTTGGTACGTTTTGTTGCTGCAGGCTTCGTCGGTTTGCTTCCAGGAGCCCTCGTAGGCCACTTTCCGGAAGGCCTCTTTGACGTCGTCGGCCACCGCCACGGTTTCTTAGTCGTGGTTGTGTCTCCAGTTACGGTTGGGGGCCTGGGTTTGCCAGATGGGTCAGTGGCATCACACGCCTCGACCTTCGCCACAGTCCTTCGGAATAGACCGGCCACAGTTTCGTTGTCTCGACACAGCAGCTCACCGCCTCGGTTGAACTGGGTGCTCTACTCAAAAGGGAAAAAAATAAATATGCACATACGCATTGAAGTGAGGAAAAAACAAGTGCAACACGAAATAGAAACTGAACAGAAACACGTGGACCACGAGTTTATGTTTTCAGTTTAGAATTCTAACGTGCAAATTAAGCATTTTGCCACTCTGACCAAATATCCCAAACGCATCAGGTTAAATGAGGAGGGCAAGTTCGTCTGCTTCTTGCGCAGGGGGTAGCGGTGACGTCAGAACGCCGAGCCCTGATTGGTTGACCGCGACCCCCTATCTCAGCGTCGTCTGCTCGCAACGTCGTCTGCGTCTGTCTTACCTTTCCTGCAACTTTCAGAAGTGCAGAGGCCAGATTCACGAAACGATCTTACGCCAAAATTGTGCGTAAGAGAAAACGTAAAAACAAATTCGTATTCACGAAACGAAATTATCGTAAGTTTTGCGCAGGTTACGACGGAATCCTACGACAGCTCCGAAGCTGTCTTACGCACTTCTTACGATCAAATCAGCATGGCTGACAGCGTGGCTCAGTTACTTGGTCGCGACGACGAACGGACGTTTATTTTTGTACGTGCTCTTCTCACGCGTCCCGACTACATGCAGCAAGAAAAGAAGTAAAAGGTACTTGAAATAAACCACGAGGAACAAGAACGCTGGATCCACAAGCACCCGGGAAATGCTCAACGGCCACGATTCCACTGACCCCGACCAAGCGAGCTCGGCAGATAGGCCTAGCACGCACTCCGTCTCGGCGCAGCGGTGCCCCTACGGTCCTTGGCCAAGACCTTCTGCCCACGACCGGCTGGCGTGATGAATGGAATATGCCTGCGCGACCCTTGTGAACCCTTGTTAACACTTCCCGTATTATACTTTGATCGCTGACCTCAATTTTAGATTAAGAGGTCAATCTCTTCCTCTTGTCATCTTGTTTTCCGAGGCAGCGGTGACTCTCGCCGGTGAAAAATCGGTGAATCTCCGACAGACGCAGGAAAGGTAAAGCAGCCATCGCTTTGACTAGCAGACGTAAAGCAGACGACGTTAACTGCGCCAATTCGCCGACGCCGTTAAAGAGTGAGGAGTCTCGACGCACACGAAAGGAGGAAAAAAGTATTTGGGAGGGAACTTGCGGACACTAACCACCCTCACCTCTCAGTTCTTAGCAAACAAACCTCGGCGCCTCGGGACATCTCGCCAGTGAGTCCTTTGACTTCTCTCCTTGATGCGCGTCTGCTAGTTGTTAGACAACAACAACGTACCGCTCGAGTTACTTCGTCTGCCTTCTCTGAAAGGCGAAGTTGAGCTCGCTCGACTTTCGAAAGTCGCAGGAAGGTGAGACAGACGCAGACGACGTTGCGAGCAGACGACGTTGCAAAGGAGCAGACGACGCTCAGATAGGGGGTCGCGATCAACCAATCAGGGCTCGGCGTTCTGACGTCACCGCTACTTCCTTTCTCATGCGCAGGAGACGAAAATGAGTCCACTTGCTAGGCGCATAGATTGACCGGTGATATCCGGAAGTTACTAAGTGTTTGTGCTGCTCAAGTAGAGAGGAGCATAAATATAGTGTGATATTTATTTTATTAAAAGACGCCCCCAATTTCGTTAATTCAATTGTGAACATCAATACGTAACTTCACGCTGAATTTCGCGAGAGTGCATGTCTGGTGGTGTCGTGACTTCACATTAGGCATGGGAACGTCAGAATCGCAGGTGTTGACTCCGGTTTCGATCAAAATGGTTGAGTGTGCGTAGGAAGATCATTGTCGAAGAATCGAGCTTCCCTTAATACCGTCTTGTCTTTCTTAGAACGAAGTTATTTTACTGAGACATCAGTCAAAAGCTTAGGTGGTTTTCTTTGATTGACGTCACGTGAGAGCTTCCGCTGTTGCCAACAAACGCGCTTAGTGTTTTGTGGTGCAATCTAGGCATTTGGTTTCTGTTTGAAATTGAATTACTTGTGCGGTGGAGGAATAAAAATCTGGATATTATGTGGATAATATTCCTAAAAGCAATAACAATATAATTTAAGCTTTTCTGAAAGACACAATTTTACCGAACAATTCCTTTAAATTTACATCGTTGGTCTTTGCAATTATTATTTTGTTTTTGCGATATTTAGTTACCTCTTTAGTTTTGAGCAGATTATTCCGTCTGTTACAAAAATACAAAAATGAAGGACGCTTCAACTTCGCCTTTAAGAGGGGAACGCGACAGCGCTATCGGGCTCCGTTCGCATCGCCTTTTCATTCGCTTCTCATGCTCTTCCTGCGAGGGAGTAGGAACTCAGGTGGACATGGCCTAGTCAGTTGTGTGCCTGACTCGCAACCGAAGGGCCGTAGTTTCGAATCCCAACTAAAAATTTTCACATTTTCCTTTAAGGCAAACGAGTTACCTTATCAAATGAAACCATTTGAGTCATGCGTCGACCTTTAGTTTGCATTACATGTCATGTTTTTTTAATCACTTTAATTCTACACGTGACGTCACGTTTCACGTTAGCGTTGAGGGTTCTCTGAAATTTCCGGGCGAGGTCATGTGGCTGTGACATCACGACCCTATCGACCAATCAGGAATTTCCCGTCACGACGCCACCGTGTCAAACGCCGGCTTTTCTGTGACTCGAGCTCCCAACGCAATCGAGCTAAAATTAGTAGTGCTGTGGGGTTCACAGTTAAGTCGCAGCTGTAACAGCTTATCGGAATTACGTTTCTTGTACCTTACGCTGAAGACCCATCGTCAGTGTCTGCCCGGAGTGTGACACACTCATAAATTTATGCAATAATTAAGTGACTTCCACCTGAAATGTGGCCCAACTCACGCCCTTCGGGCGACTGGTGGCCCCAGGTGAATTTTTTCAGCGGCCAGCAGCCGCCCAGAGGACGCGAGTTGCGCCCCATTTTAGGGGGGGAATCGATTAATCCTCACGTAAATCTTCTCCACCCTGGGGATTTCCCATAAAAATAATTATAACAAATCATGTATTTATACTCACATAAAAGCCCTCTAACGGGCATAATGTCATTTGACGCCATGATGTCACATGACATCCTAACGTCACGGGATACCGTAACCTCACAGTGTCACGTGATACCTGGGACACATTTGACACCGCGATGGGCGCCTTACATTATCTCTTTAAGGGGCCACCATTACAGCTGTCACTGCAACAAAATTTCTTGGCAACTAAATTTGAGTTGGTGATGGGAAGAACGGAGTGCGACCGTAATGTTAATTATCGAAATAAAAAAAAAAAAACACATCCGCCTTAGTGACTTGTGTTACCACGAGACACTATAGTAATATTTTGTATTCCCCTGAAGTACAATTCTGAAGCGTAATCACAGTCCAACTCACACAATTACTTGATCGTCAACCTTGTGTGTCTGGATACTTTGACAAAGACCTAACTGTCAATATTGTAACAAACTTTGAAGTGTACTCAGGGAGGCTACAGACGGTGACAGGTTAAGGATTCAGTAGACCATAGCCTCCTATATACAGACAAAGCCTGGCAGATCGACACGAGAAGCGGCAACCGGAATGGAAAAGGTAAAGCGGCAGACAACGGATGAGAGGAGAGCCACGTTACTGGCGCCCAGCTGCGGCGAGACGCCGAAACACACTTCCTCTGAGCGAACAAGTGTTTTCGGGTCCTCGCCGCTGCAAAAGCAGTGCGCTGATGTCCAGGCTTCCCGAGAAATGGCTCTTTGATGCTCTGTGCTACCAGATCCTCGCTCTCCCAATCTGCGACCGGGCACTCTATGGCTGCGTCGCCGAACTGCCAGGCTTTTTGAGTATAGAGGAGGCTACGAGCAGACGGTCCCCCTCCAGCCTGAGCTTTCTGCCTTGGGTAGCACTTCGTCCCACGCGCAGTCAAAGCCCGGGGGAAAATAACGAGCGCGTGCTGGAAGTGGACCTTCTGCTGAATTCTTAGCCTGTCCCCGACTACACATCAGCACGCGCCTCTGACGCTACGCTGCTGCGGTGGCGCTGCGGTAGGTGTGCGTAGTGTCCAAACTTGGCGTGAGAAAATGCAAACTTGAAACGCGCGCTGGTTTATAGGTTTGACTAGGATGTGGGCAGCTTGGTGTAGGTCGAACGTTTTGTGAAATAAAAGTTCCCGTTTCGCCATTGTAGAAAGGCGATATTTTTAGTTTATACAAAAAGAAGAAGAAGAACAACAACAATGACATCATGATATGTTTACAGAATGTTGTCAAGCATAATCTTATTTCGAGTCTACAGTGTAAACCTTATGTTGGCAAATTAGCTTAAAAAAATTCGAATAACACTCCAGGAGCCCTAATTGACTGCCCTAATGCAGCTGCTTAGCAAAAAAAACATCTTAGCGCTTTGTTCCAAAAGACGAGAATACACAAACACCATATTTTGATATGCCAAGTACTAGTACGTAATTGGTGTACGAATGTGTCCTCCCTTCGGAAACAAAACTTCGCAAAGAAATCTGCGTAAGAAGAATTGATATGTATCTCACCCCTCGGTTCAACGAAGAGAAGCAGAAGAGTGATTTGTTCACCGCGACAGCGAACTTGCTATGGTCATTCAAGTACGAGTATTCGAGGTAACTGGTACTGTTGAAGTTGAACCGCAGCAATTCGACGTCCTTTACGGAGTATTTCCGGTCGCAAACCGGGTAGAGCCACCCAAACAATGGCCTTCGCCAAGACTGAACCCAAATATCACTCTGGGCTTGTTCAGTGACGACGTGGGTGTAGACATCTGGAATGAGATAGGCTCTATACACTAACTTGACTCTCTGTTTTCACGCCGCAGCGGTGGCGTTGCTGTCGGCACTGCGCATGCGTAGACGCTTTCTTTCAGGCTATTATGGACTCTGCGCACGCTGGCCTACCTGGTGTGGGCAAGCGTGCGCTTGGTTGTAAACAATGCCGTTGGTATATATTTAAATACTTTTCTAGGATGATACATTCTACTCCGCAGATTTGCATTAGAGTGCAACTTCAGCACCGAATCCTTCCCTATTGGCGTGGAAAGACCGCGTAAGAGAGAACGCTTGCGTATCGAACTGTTCCAGCTGTCTCGCAGTTCGTGCTGTGCCGAAGTAGAAGGCTGCCACTGACGCACCGCGATATCGGGTTCGCCGAGACAGCGGAAACGGTAGTTTCCACTGCCTCAAAGGCTGTCCACGACGACGATAGATGGCGGCACTGTTCACCCCTTCCAATTCAAAAGGGAACACCACGAGGATTCGTGCGTCCAGTCATTCTAACTCCTCAAATGCTGTCGGCTCCTGGGCAAATGGAGTTTCGCAGAGTAAGATGTATTCTTATTCGGTAATAAATTAGTTGCTATATTCCTCAATTCCGACTTCAGCTCCCACTTGAGGGGTGTGCTAGCAAGTTGTGTTTCGGGTTGAGCTCTAAGAAATATTCTATAATATTAATTTTAACAATAATGTTCAGGCAGTCTAAAATGTGGCGATACAATATGCGTTGTTAAAAAAAAAGAGAATGTAAGAAACATAAGCATAAACATAAACGTAAGTATGGAAACATAAACGTAAGCGAGCGACATTTTCGTTAATAATGAGCACACACAACATATAGTTTTTGTACTAAAATGAATAGTTGCAGGTTTTTTTTTATCTAAAAATAGATAACTTCTAATTTATATCGGGTTCAGAAGCTTTGGGCGGGTGATTTCTTTTTGAGCACTGATTGTAACAATATCAATTTTAAATTGAATTTCTATAGGCAGTCGAACCCGTAATATCTGTTGAAATACTTAAAGAAGGGTGGGAGCACTTCCTTCACTATTCCGTCACAGAATGCGTCGACAGTTCACATTTCATTTGAAGTAATAAAAATGGTTAAACATTTAAGATAATTGTTAGCCTTTGCTCTTAAACGTTGAGAGTCGTTAGGAATATAATTCTGTAAATAACGTCGCGACATAGAAATAGTGAAGGGACGCACCTTTTTTCCAACGAGGAGGCTTCGCGATAGCAGTAAATGTCGTGCGGCTTATACCCTTAATGGGTGCAATTTTTACCTCCGTACTGGGCGGTAGAGACTTCCCTCTTATAAGTGCCTGCAGTTGAGGATACTTCTTAGCCACACTCTCTGGCCCATACTTGTGGTTCACGATCACAGATTGAATCAAAAGAAGTTCAGCTGAAAAATGAGAGACGCGAACAAAATCATGTAAGTATCTTATCAACCACGTTTTCGTGGGAGGAGGTCTTTGAGCATGCCCTTTGTAATCTTTGCCAACAGTGCTACTTGTGGCTGTGATTTCCCTAAAAGTGAGCTTTAGTCAGGGGTTTCCCCAGGAATTAAAATTAGGGGGGGGGGGGGGGGGAGGGGGTGTCGAAATTTTTAGAGGGGTTAAGGGGGGCATTGAGATTAGAAGAGTCGTTGTGAATTAAGGGGGTGCCTTCGGAAAAACGAGGGGGGGGGGGGAGCGCAGCCCTGTAGAGGGTGTTGGGAAATCACTGGCTTTAGTCTTGCGCCGGAGAAAAAAAGGGCAGCCAAGTGCAGATTACCCAAAACGCTTTGACTATGCAGATCCCGAGACAACTATAGAAATCGACATCATAATAAACTAAGGCCGTGGTAAGTCTCGAACGTAGAGTTATTATAATGCACCCTAGAGGTCCAACTGGCGCTAGTGTGTCGTTTCATATTGAAGCAGACGGCGACCAGTCTGAACTGGATTTCCGGTAATGAATTCCTACCGGAAAAAGTGAGTGCGTTTTTGCTATCGTAGGTTGATTATCAAAGCAAAACAACAACAACAACAAATAATTCGTATGTACTAGGTAGCTTAAAATATCTCTTAGTCACGTAGATTTAAATTTTGGTTAGTTACAACGTTTTCAAGCGATAGCTTTAGGGGCGGCTCTTTTCAGAGATTTCACCCTGGCAGGTTGTCGTCGCCGCGCACGCGAAGAACAGAAAACCTCCTTTCTCTGCTTTTGGCGCGAGGCCAGGGAAGTCGGGTTTTCCCGTTGGCCGCACAGCGCGACGAGAGAAAAGAGAGGAGCCCCAACATCCTGCCAGTAATGAATTGGCGGAAAGACAGTCTTTCGTGTCGTCTGCTTAAAAGACTCGTTTTCAAACGTTACTCGCGTTATGCGAAATCCCACTTTCACAATATATCCAGTTGCTACGCGTAATGTTGGATGGTTTTAGAAACTTCCACCGGGTTTACTCACTTACTTCCCGGATCACCGAACACTGGTGGCGGTCGTCACTGGCATCTCCACGATGCCAACCACGACGGTTATGAGAATTAACTACGTCGCCCCTCCGTCCCCAGGTACGTGACGGCACACTTCCACCCGCATCGCGCGACCGTGCTACAGCTATCGCTTTCGTTTCTTCACACATTGTAGGCGAAAAGTACAATTTTTTTTAAATTTCAAATTCAGGACATTAAAAGCGGCGCTAAAATGGCTTCGTACATGTGTTTATGTACACTGTACGACACTGTTAGCATGAACACGGCATCGGCGCTTTTCTGTAGGAGGGTTAATTAGGCGCCAAAGCAAGAAGAGTGTCTCGAAAATCAAGAGAGGTCAAGACCTACGCACTATCACTGGATCAGTACCTATATACCTGTTCATGTAGACGATCAAATTAAAGTAAAGCCGAGTTATGAGTGCGATTTCTAATAAATAACGTTCGATTTATTCACTCTGCTGCTCATGTATGTGTGCAAAGGTAAGTTTGTTGTAGCGTTCAAAACTCATATCTGCGTGCACGAAAACTTTTAAAATGTTAAAATCCAGAAAACTGTCTCCGCCCGATAAATTCAGCGCAATATTGAAAAGAAAAACAACTTTTACAGTGCGCGTGCGTTTACTGTTTCACGCGTTTTAACGGCCCTTACATTGATGTTATTTTTGGTGGCTTATACACCTGGAAGGTTATAAATATTAGTGTAATTGGGATGTTGGCGCTGCTTGAATAAGCCCTACGTTCTTTTCGACTGTTATTCTTGCTCAGATTCGCCGCTTGTATTTACACACTTGCCGTGGAACATGGGACTGCATGGGCCCGGTATAATATGAAGTTAAACATCGTTCACTGATCAAGAGAATAGTGTAAATAAAACAATTTTAGTTTTATAATGTTAATTACGTTACCTACTATTCACTACGCCCCAAGTAACTAAAGTTATTCCTGTTATTCCTCGGCGAAGAGAAAAAAAAATGCACGCGCGTTTTGCCATAGGAATGCACAGGGGCACCGCCAAGGAGGACTGGTTGCTGGCTGCTTCAATTTGAAACCGGAAGTCCCACAGACACTAGCGCCAGTTGAGCCTCTAGCGCGCATTATAATAACTCTATGGTTCCGAGCATCGTATTATTGCCCCGCAGTGAATCAGATTGCGACATTAGCCGATAAAGACGCCGATGAACGAATCGTGAAGCAATAATTAACACAAGCCACGTCCGGCACTCCTTAAGCTGCCAGTGACAAAATCGGCACTTGGTCTGCTCATTACTTAGTTTCACCTGCACTACAAACACCAGGTGTCGTTCGGCGTCGTGTCGAAAACAGCCTTTTTGTTTAAGAAGTGCTCCGACAACATTGTTGATCCAACACTCTAAGAAAGGAGGGGAGTTCGAGGGAGTTAGACGGCGTGACAACACCCACAGCGTGCGCTAGCACCCCTTCGGAAGGAATATCCTCTCTCAAATAGAAGGAGCGAGCAAGGGGAAAGAGAATAGGGTGCTACAAGAGTCCCCTGGGGATTCGAAAGGATTATGGGAAGGGGACGCCTGCCCTCGGGCCAGGCTTCCTTTGCGAAGGGGCAACGTGGATGTCTAGCTTTGAGAAAGTTAAATCCGATCCTGGAGTTTATGTTTTTACTTTACTTCTTATTTTTTCTTTTTTGCTTCACAGATTCTTTGAAATTGCTGACGTTCCCTTTTTGTTCGTTTTTCTTTTTTACGTTTTCCTATTTACTTCCAAGTTCAAAAAGTTACCTGACTGTTTCATAGAGGGCGCTGGCGGGCAGGTCGACGTAGAGTTCCTGTATAGGGTCCCTACGGGAGCCAGAGTTGCGCGTTCATGCATGGCATGTGGATACAGCTCCTCACGTCACTGAATTCGGCGAATAGCAGCGCCGCGCGTTCGAGGCGCGCTCAAAAGCCAGGGAACGTACGCCGGGGCGCGTGCAACGTCTACTTTGCTGCGCGACACTTGATACGGCTCCTCACGTGATCGGATCTCGGCGAATAGCGGCGAGGGTGGCACGCGGCACGTGGAATCAAAGGCGCACCTCTGGCTCCTGTAGGGAGCCTATACAGGAACTCTAGATCGACAGACCGACACACCATGCCGTGGCTTACATTTTGCGAGATCGAGTTTTTACAAGCTTACGGTTGAGCATGTAACCTTCAAAGGAGGTTTAGATCGGTCTTATTTACGCTTCTGATACAAATGTCTTTGTCGCTGGTCTCATCCGGTAAGATAGAGGACACAAACCAATGTGAGACAATCTGGGTAGCTAAAACGAAAATAAAAATATCTCGCCATTAATTTGTTTAGCGGTGGGAGACACTGAAAGGTGCATTCCGGTGACAACCAATTTAGTCAGCTGCACGCGCTGGCGACCGAAAAACGTTTAACTTAGGAAATGTATAGCAAAAAGATAAAATCGCGGAGAAAGCGTGAATACAGCATTTATTCTAGATTTGAAGTTCCGCGGGCACGACGTTTTTGCGAACTCTCGAAGCTTACCCGATATTAATTTATGCCGCGTTTTATATATCGTACAAATAAATTGTGAAATAAAAAGCCCGCGACCATACTCATTCAAAGCACAAATTTTCACAAAGTTTTTGTTACACAGCGCCCTACGTCGCCCAACCGAAGTTATTAGTGCTGAGGAGTCAGGACATCGTCGGAATTTTTCACTTGGTATGATGACCCTCTCTGTTCGCGTTAGGATATTTTAGAGTAAAAACTTCTGGGAGCCATCCTTTTTTTATTTTGTCAGTTTGAGAAGTTTCTTGACTGCTTCATGTACGGCGCTGGCGCACTGCCTGGTGGGCCGAGACGCCATTCCGTAAATTACATTTTGTGTGTTCCAGTTTTGACAAGCTTACGGCCCTGGCGTAAGCTGCGAGCGGATTTTAGGTCGTTTTCGTTTATTATGTCCCTGTTATACGAGGGTTCCGACCGAATAGAGGTAACATTACAACGTGAGACGGGCTGGGCGGTGGATCGAAAACAAGAATATCTAAAGGGGCGATGGAATGGTTTTAATGCTGAAGGAATTCGCAGCTTGTAATTTTTGTATCGTTTATCTTTAAAAAAAAAAAAGATAGAAATCACGTCTATTTTTTAAAAATAAATATCGCGATTCCGTTTCGTAAAATGCAAAGCAAAAAACAGTAATATCTCGGGTCTTTAAACCACGCGCGGCGGCTGGAGTGACGGATATTTGGGTACATCTGGGTGAGTTTTCGCGACGCCATCTGCATGAGGCGCACAAGACCATTCTCTATGATGCTGTGGTGAAAGAATGCGAACACACACACGTTCAGACACAAAAGGGACGATGAAAGGGGGCTCGACCTTAAAAAGACTATTTACAGAACCCAGACACACAGGTTAAACCTGTGCTCCTGCTTTTATGCGAATGACTTTGGTGTAGATAGGTGTGTCTATTTCCGCTTTCAAGTCCAACAGGATGGCGCCATTCCACGCGGGTACGAATGAGTGCAAAAGGGTCATCTTGAAAAATCAGTTTGTTGGAACAGTGTCGTGTATGAAATATCTCTAGCTTGCGGGTCTACGCATGTAGGTCAAATATAAAGACGCATTAACGACAGATTAAATGAGCATAAAAGGAATGCCAAGACCCATACAACGACCTCTGAAATAGCTAAACGTGTTCGTGAGCAACTCTGAAGTTGTGGTTGGGGCCCTTTTTAGGGAATAAAATGTACAAAATGCGAAACATGACCTTTTTTTTTTTTTTTTTTGCAGGGTTGTGTTTTTATATTTTGCTTCACGATTCCGGGGTCTGTTAGGGATTGTCTCTCTAAGTTTTCGATGTGTCACGGTTAGAAAATTGGCTTACAACGTGTTGAACTAGGTTTAGGGTTTCATGACGCAAGTTATCGGGAAGGGGCGCGGCATGGGCAGCACAGGGA